ATCCTTGCAACTAAATTGTGCCCTGAGCTGCACATGTAAGCCCTTTTGGCACCCAGGGGCATATTCTAACCCAAGAATGGAAGAAGTTGAAAAGCTGCATGCTAAAAATATAAAACCAACTCCTTTATTTCTCTCTCTCTTAGTAAAATACAGATATTAACCAACAACACGACCATTCTTTATCTATATTTTTCTTTTTCAATCTGGAAAAAATCAAATTCAGCCCATTTTGCTTTACAAATGGAAAAAAAAAATATTCTCCTACCCTTTTCCTACACGTATCCACAAAATTATTTTTGGGTATAAGCAAACACAGACTGCACATACACGAGAGTGGTGACCTGGAGTCTTATTTGCAGTGTATAGACAAGAAGAATACCCTGCTGAGAAGAACTCAGAGAGTCTATGAAATCCTGCCAGGGAGCAAGAAAATCTGCTGTATGGTACATCATTTCCTGCAGTTTCTTGCAGTGAAGAGCTCAAAATCTGTCAAAACACGCTGCCCTTTGTGACTCTCCTCATTGAGATGTACTTACCATACTGTGTCTCATATTCAGATGTGAGCACTAATGCAGCACGTGAAGAGAGTCTCTACCAAAGCAATTCCTCAGCAAACATTAGGTACAGACTGACCTCCACAGCCAAGCAGCACCCAGGATGCACCCAAGTGTATCCACATCTCAGCCTCATTAAGAAATAGGCATCACATGTGCTTTAACCTAAATAATTTGCCCAAGACTTTTGAGTAGTGACACCAAAACCTAGCTTGGGTTAAGTGGGTGCAGGTGTCTGCAGGATTTGGCCCACAGTCTGTCAGGATTCAATGGACTGAATCACATTTATGGTGCACTGTCCAACTTACAGTCATGGAAAGCCATGATTGTCCAGCTTCAAAAGCCCAGCATGAATCTTAACAACAGAAGTTTAAACCATTTCCTACACTTCCCTGTTTTGGATCCTACACCATCTGACATGACTCAGGAATCATCCAGGACAGTCTCTGACATTTTGCCTTTTTTAGCTAGGTTTTAGGAATCGACAAATCCTCCTCCTCTGCCTCCTTGGAAACTGCTACTAACTGAAGTCTAGACAAACATCCAGCAGGAAAGGTCTGGCTCACTGAGGGTGAAGTGAGAGCACGAAGTGGAAGGATGCCCTGGAAGGTCACAGCGCACACATTTCCAGGAAATTACATTGAATTAAACCAAGAAATGAAATGCTGGTGGATGGGGGAAACTGAGGAATATTCTTTGCTACTGTATGTTTACAAAATTACCATATAGAGATCACCTTCTGTTTTCTGGTTAAACAAAGACCAAAGAGACAACGATGTAACACTCGTAACCCATCACAGTTGTTTTACAGAATGTTAAGCCTTCACATATACACATATAAAAAAATTCAGATTTAGTAGCAATTAGGCCTTTTTTTCTTATCTAATCTTTATCTGTGCTTTTAAGGAATTATTTAGTGTTAAATGGCCGCAAAAATTCCCAACAAGGGAATGAAAAGTCAATATAATGCAGTATCAGTCTGTTACCAGTGACTGGTATTTTAAAAATAACAGAATGCTCAAAGTGTACTGTTTTCAGACAACAAATGAATTATCTCAAGTATTACGAGTGAACACAAAATTAACAGTAAACCAAATATATTTGCAATAAACTCCCTACTTAATGAGAAAGAAGAGCAGGGTAACCTTGTTCCATTATAGGAAGAAAATAAATTGTATTGTTAAGAAAGCATTTGTATTTTATGTGAGAGCTATCCCAAGTCAATGCATTACACCAGCAAATTGAAATAGTTTTGTATCCATAGTACATCCTCAGGATGCCCACAGTTCTTGAATCATTGTAGAGTTCCACTCATATCAAACTGACCCAGGACTCCACTTAGTCTGTATTTTCCCTACAGTAATTTGAAAATAGTAACAGTTCATAACACAAATCAATAGAGTATAAAGAGAGATTATAATACTACATTTCAAAGAAAAAATTACTTATTTTTATTTCAGTGATGGAGAGGTAGCTCTAATATTTTCTGCTTTTTTTTGTTTACTAAGAAAAGGCTGATTTGATTCCAAAGTCTGCTCAGTCAGTCTGCATTTACACTGGTAAATTTCTGAGAAGAGTTTGTCCCTGAGCACTAACATTCCTATTTTTACTTTCCAACAGAGCATCAATCAGAATGCATAAGGATGAGTAAACTGAAATTGGAAATAAAGACTCAATAATGACAAAACATATTAAAAGAAAACCACCAAATTCCTTTCCATTCAGGAAAGCAGTGCCCACGTTATCAAAACATGAATACTTAATTCTTGGTTCTCAAGTTTTTCTTTAGAAAGAAATTATGTGGAATACAGATGTAGGCCTTTTTCAGCTAATGCTGTGGGTTTGCTCCTAATGTTACACTTCAGCTGGAAGTGAAAAAAAATCCATATCAAGTCCCAATTTTCTAGTCCATATCACATTCTGATTCTCATTCACTGCTATTATAATGCATGTTAAATCCTACACAACAGGGAATGTTTGATCTAGACATAATATAGTTCTGTTCCTTCTCTTCTCCTTTGCCATGGAGATTTTTATGAGGCTTTGTAAACCATTTTTACTACAAAATATAAATTTGGAAGTTAAACTATCTAAAGACATCTTTTCAACATTCAGTTATAAAACTATATACACTATGAAATAGTAGATAGCTTGACATTTTTGTTTTTGCTAAGGACAAACTAACTTTTCTTTCCTCTGAGAAACTGTGTTATTGAAAATGATAAATAAGAAAGGAGCAGAATCAAAACAAATACCCCCAGCATTATGTAAGTGATCCTTTAAGCACTTCTGTGTTGAACTCAGAATCCAACTAAAACTAAATTCTGCTTGTGTAATTAATGCAAAAAAATTTCACTGACTTTGGAGGGATTATTTGCGTAACAGAGGAAAGGAGGATTTTGTTGGACAACAGAAGATGGGAAAAACTTTCATAAAATATGATAACAAATTGCTGAAGTGATTAGAAAACATTACTGTTTAACTGCTTTATAGATTCTCTGTCCTCCACATACAACTGGTCCAAAAGAGAATATTACAGGCACTTAACAAAGTCTAGTTTCAGAAATACAATAGTACCAAACAATTTTATTAATATTTCATACAAATTTTGAAGTCAACACTGGCTAGTATTTTGATGTTGATGAAGGCAAACAAAATTAATAAACAATAGCTTTCTGTGTTTTACATTGGGCTGGATGTCATAAGTAACTATCTTAAACTATAATAGCAATGATCAAAACAGGGTAAAGCCAATACATTTTGTTTTCTTTACTTTATTTCAAAATAGAGTGATTATAAATACATTCTTGTTATATTTCCTTCCTAACTCTTTGGATGCAACCAAAAAAAAAAAAAGTCTCACTGTGCTCATTTCATACAATATCAACATACAAATCATGCAAAAGATATTATAGATATTATACCACCATCAAATTCTGGATGTTTTTTCTTGATTCTGAAACATTTGTTAACATTATTCACAAGGCCATGCCTTTATAACTTATGGCTTTAAAAAAAAAAAAAGGCATTTAAAAAAGATTTTTATACTAGATTGCTGCATTATTATCAATCTTGAACACTAAATGCAAAACATAAATCACCTGGTCTTGTGTTCTTGCACCGTGATATTTGCTTTTTTGAGAAAATTGCACAATTTTTTTCTTTTTTTTTTCCAAGGAAACAATTACACTTTATTGATTTTATTTAAAAACGGAAACTTCCTTATAATACAGTGGAGACGACAGATTATGTTAACACCTTCACTGGTTTAGTTTATGTCTATGGGTCTTAACAGCCATTTTACAAGCATGGCCACTCAAACCAAGATAATGAACAGACAGACCTGTTAAGCCACATCCCAAGAGTCACCTTCTCAGAAAGGCTGACTGGAGATTTGAATGGACATTACACTAAAACTGCTGTGCAGACACATACACCGCTTCAAAACATGGAGAAAATAAACTGACATTAAGGTTGCCATTCAAAGTGACACTTTCACAGAAATATAGTGTTTTGCCAGCTTTTGCATTCTTCACTCACGCTATTATGCCTACATATTGCACCATATATTGTCAAACACTTAGGAACGATTTCTACAGGAAGGTCCGGATTGTGCAACCTTTAGTGATGCTGGTGAACCTACACTCAACTGCATAACCCCAAAAGAGTCTCTGGGCTCTGTGTGTTATATACAATGGTTCTGAGCTGGCTTGCTTTGAAGTCAATGACAAAACTCTATCTAAGCCCCACTCTTGGGCAGGGATGTAATTACTAGCTCATGAATAGTACCTCTGCACAGGATTTAGGTTGACTTTAAACGCTTTTACTGGATTGGGACCTCAGTGGTCAGGAAACTCTGACCCACTGTAATGGTACAGCATAACAGATCAGTTCTTCTTCTTCTTTTGATCAGCAAATAGAAGACACCATAACAAAAAGACCAAAACAAAAATCAAAAACAAGAAAAAAACCCAAAAAACAACACCCCTCCCCTCAAAACAAAACCAACCCCCCTCAATTTTTTAGTTGAGGAAGGTACGATAATTTATAATTGTTCTTTTAACTCAGGGCAACATGAGTCATAAGCACGTCAATTTTATCATCAAAGTACTGGCTTATTTGCTACTTTTAATATTTTTAACACCTGTCTCTCTCAAGCAGGGAGAGGGACATGACAGTCTGACAATGCACTGAGTGTGTCAGAAGCCTCCTGCTTTGGCAAATCCCAGTGAACTTGGACACATCCTCAAAACCACGCAGCACTGAGTGGAGCAGGCACGGTGACCCCTCATCCTTAGCCTGCTGATGGAGCCACCAGAGTCTACCATGTCAGTGCATCATTAACACTCCTTAATCCACAGACAACAAACTCATATATTCGTTTTCCAGCCTTGGCCATGTATTGCATCATTGGTCAATCAGGAACTTTTCATGCTAGAAATATAGTATCCATGTCCTGAAAATCCCTATGACATTCTGAATTACATTAATTATTCTGCACAGATAGCCACGGTTTTTTTGAAAGAAACTCAGCCATTAATTTATCTGTTATAATTTTATTATCTGAAGTCACGTATATACTTTGAAGTATGGAGAAAAATAATAAAACAACCCTCTTTCTAAGCCACAAGAGCATAAACACATGGTTAAAAGTAGAGAAATGTTTTGTTTGCTTTCTCTTAAATAAAGAAGCACTGCTTTCTTTTTTTTGGTATATTTTGTTAAAAATATACTGCAGACTGGTTGCCAAGTATCATTCCAGAACAAAAATTTCAAATCACTGTAATAAAGCCCTGAAATTAGAGGTTTATATTGGAAATAGCTGACACAGCCTTCTCCACAGTATTATTATTGGGTCTTGCTCTAATTTTTGCTAGTTTCAAATTCATGAAAAACATTCACGTTTATATCCTGCTATCTTATCTGACTTATTGATTATAAAAGGTAGGGAGGGGTAAATGTTCTGGAAGCAAAGGAGGGAAGAGAGTCTTATTCAAAGCTCATGAAGACAAAGAACTTTTTTTAATCTCATCGCATAGATTTTTTTATGGGATGCTTTACCAATATATCTCCATTCTCATATCAAAGTACCATCTATCAGTGAGATACAGTGGGAATTTTCCATTCTCCTACTTTTTTTTCCCCTAGCTATTCAGATTCAGCTTTCTCAAAGGCAAGTTTTTACTCTCTAGGTATGAGCTACACAATACTCTGAACTGAGACCGCTATACTCATTTTACACTGTGGTTTTAAATAGACATGATTTGCCATATTGTTCACTGTTCTGATCAGGTTTTGCTGACTAACAGAAGCCAGAGAGATAACAAGAACAGAAAACTTCTGCATATCCAATTAAAATATTACCCTTAGCATGAATTTCTGTAAATACTTGTAGTGAAAACTATTTAAGTTAAGCTGTAGAGACCTGAAAATCAAGAAAACTGGTGGCAAATAATTGCCTGAGACACAATACTAAAAAAAACTAATGAATCTATTTTAAAACGCACCATTGGTAACAAATCTGAAATAAGATAATATGCTAATCTCACAAGAATAGTACAGAACAATTTTTTTTTATTATTATTATTATTATCATTATATCTGATCACTTAATTCTGGATAATGCTATACATTACATCCCCGGTTGCTGTTTGGTATATTGTTCTGGTTTTATTTATACTGAATGATTAATGCAGTGTGATCAGGAAAACAAGTCAGGCATATTAAATACATATTAAGGAGTACATATTCTTTCCTATTTAGTATACAAAGTATTTCATAAATATGAATTATATTACAAAAATAATTTCTGCCACGCTCACACAGTAAGCACTTTGACATTTTTGGACAACCTGTTGGGTTGCAAGAGTTTCACATAACTGAGAAGGAACTCTAGTTTTAATTGGAGATGAGTCTTAGAACAGATTCTGCATAAACATCAAATATTTTCTTCAGATGTCACAAATACTGCAGAAGTCAGGTTAAACTATTTTCTTTCTTTTTTTTTTTTTTAATTTTCTCTATAGACATGTATGCTTCAAGTGGTCAAATTTATTCCATAGGTATGTAATGCATGGTATATTTTAAACAAATATTTGCACAATTTAACATTATAATTCCAGTGGTTTCAAGATGCAGCCCATAAATGTAACCAATTTACACATACTATTGAATGTTCTCTCTTTGCATGCTTGTTACTTTCCAGATAAGCTTTAAACAGTGCCATTACAACACCACAAATCAAAGGATTACTCCAGTTCCACCAACTTAAATCCACGTGCAGGATGAAGGACCCAGCTGAGGTACAAATATCAGTACCAGGTTTCTTGTGTTTGTTCTAACAAATCACAAGGAGACGATGGTTTGCATTTAAGATACAAAACATATATGCCTCTTGAGGTTAAATTCAGTGTAACGTGTATAAAGCATCCCTTTGGCAATAGAGTTTGCAGTATCCCTACAGGATTCCACTGGGCATGAGCTTTATGTAGTAAAATCTATTAAGGAAATTCTCCTCTACTCGACAAATCATACGCAGCTACAGTTAATCAGACACCCCTGGATACACCTGCCTCTATGCCTACCAATATAATATAGTATTTGGAAGTTAAAAGTCAACAAAAGGCACTTTCATCATTAAATAAATGTCCTCTGTAGGCAATAAGATTGTACGACCTATATTTTATTCAAAGCTGTTTGTTCTTCAAGGACTTGTAGGTAGTCAGGTGAACCTTGAAGTTTAGCTTTTAGTTCAAAATATTCACTTTTTCTTTGTTCTACTACAATTTTACTATGATTACCACCTATTAGCGATTTCTTGGCTTTTTTGTCTTGTAGTTTCTCTGGGTAACGTATTTCAAAGCCACTGACCCCTATGCTGTTGTATTCTTTTTTACTTTCCAGAAAATTTTGAATAAATACATTGGAATCCCTCCCAGGGAATAACTCATCCAGTTCATCGATTGTGCTAAGTCTTTTTCTGGTATCCACGTGCAACAAATCTTTCTCCTTGTCATTAATATTTCTCAGAATGACTTTCTGCCCTGGTGGGTCAGCAAACGTGAAGCCCGTTTCAGACTCTTTTAAGCCACAGGTATGACTTTTGCTCATCTGCTCAATGGTTTGAGGAATGAAGGCCTCTGCACCCAGTCCATCCTTTTTGTTTGACTTGTGGTCGTGCTTTCTCAGCTGCAGCTGCATAGAACTGCACTCTTGATTTCCAATCCCTTCGTGCTTTACAGTTGGTTTTTTGTTGCGCCGAAGCACAAAAACGAGAAGACAAAAAGCAACAAACACTGTTAAAATCAGCACAACTAATATGCTTAAGATTAGGATGGATAATGGAACTGGGCCACCAGGAGGACTCCGAACCGGTCCCGGTGGTGTTGTAAAAGTAACAGCAGGCATAGGGCTAGTGAACAGAGCAGATGGCTTGTTTAAAAGTTTAGGACAGAGGATCTCATTTTTCAGAGACTTAAGTTCTATGTTAGCAAACTGTACAGGTGTTTCACATTTCAACTCCTTCACCACAATACCTTCATTTAGCTTTTCAAGCCACAGTTTTAAAGCAACTAAATCACAAGTGCAGTCCCATGGATTACCTTCCAAATCTATTTGTGTAAGAGATTTTAGCTGATCAAGAACACCACTTACAGGCAAATACATGAAGTGATTGTTCCTCAGATTCAGTCTAGCAAGTGGTGCACCAGCAAAAATGTACGCTGGCAAGCTTCGGAGAAGATTGTTGTTCAGGTAGAGCAACTGCAAATTGGGCATTAAGTCAAAGGTGCCTGCTAGGATCTCTTTGATAACATTGTATTCCAAATACAGATACTGCAAGTTGTGGAGGCCAGCAAACATTTCAGGGCTCAGACGCTCTATCTGATTGCCGTTGAGATACAATCTCCGTAAATTTGTAAGGTTGCGGAAAACGTCTCCTCTGATCACTGAAATCCGATTGCTGCCTAAATGTAGCAAATCCAGCCCCTCAAACTCGGCGAAATCTGTAGTATCCACATCCTTAATATAATTGCCGTTCACATGCAGTTTCTTGGCATTTAAAGGTTTTGGTACGAGTTCAGCCATGGATTCTATATTTCTTTCTTGGCAATTTACACTTAATCCCAAATCTGAAGGATGAGTTTTGCAAACACAAGGGACCGGGCAAGGAGTTAAAGGAGGCACCCTGGTCTGGTAGGATACGATTTGACTGAGATTGCGATTAGAGAACGCTTTGCCTGCTACTATCCCCGAGATCTTCGAAGGATTTGTAGTCTTTGGCGGCTTTGTGACTAATCTGTGCACCGATGTTTGGGTGGTGTGGCCGTTTGGTGTGCTGTAACCGGGCTCCAGCTGCGAGGGAGGCAGGATGCGCACGTCAAAATCACTCCCTGTCCCCATGGAGCACAGCTCCTGCTTATTGGTTTCTTTCAGCAGCCTTCCATACAAGTCACTGGGTGTCTCACAGATCGCTTCTCCAATGTAGATGTTATAGGGCATGTTCTCCAGCCACGCCTTCAAAGGCAACAAATCACAAGTACAATTCCAGGGGTTGTCTTCCAGCTGCAATTCAACAATTCGCCCGATGTGTTCCAGAACTCCAATGTATGGAAGTTTCTGTATTCGATTCCCCCGTATATCCAGATGGGTTAGAGAAGCAAATCGAAAAATATTATCGGGAAGGAATGAAATCAGATTGTCATTAAGTATCAGGACTTTCAGCTTGTGAAGCTTATTGAAGGCTCCCCGTTCAATAAACTTGATTAAATTGTAGTCAGCTTGGAGATACTCCAAGTTCTCTATGCCAAGGAAAGTGTCAGCCCGGAGAATCTTTAATTCGTTGTTGTTTAAGTGCAACTGTTTTAATGAACTAAGACCCATAAAGGCCCCTCCCTCAATGTTCTGCAACTTATTATTACCCAGTTGCAAGGACACTGCATGTGTAAAATTAGGAAAGGAATTTGGATATAGAACAATTAGCAGGTTGTTTTGAAAGTTGAGGTGGTAAAAATTAGACCATGGTGGTTTAAGCTGATTTGGTCTGTAGACTGCAACCTTCTCACAGTTGACATAGAGTACATTCTCAACTGACACACAGGAGCAAACATTGCAAATTTCCACAGATATATCAGCATCTGCAGTTGTAGAAGAAACTGGAGATGACAGAACCAGAAAGAGCCACAGAAACATCTTCTTGTGATCAGCAAGCAACCTTAGGCTCCTGAACAAAGATAAAGAATCTAAAGAAGAAAGAAGGAAAGAAAAAAAGAAAACATTTTTCAGTTGACATTGTTCCAAAACGTCATTTGGGTTAAAAATTGTATACCACTGAGCTACTGTACCTGCCAAGGATTATAGATAAACTACAAGCACTGAATTTAAAATAACATGAAAGATTTTAACAACCAAACAAATACACGGGAGCTAGGATGATTTCAAACACAGAATGTAAATTTCTGTAGACAAACACAAATAACTCTCAGGTCTGTCAAATACATTTCTCTCTCTTCTACACGCCAAGCATGCATAACTAACAAAGTAAAATAACCAAAGGAGATTCCAATTTTATGCATATTTACTCTCCTCAAACCTGCACTGCTCATATGTTGCTGTGCATTTCAGGGATATTAAACACAAATGCTGATGTTATGCATGCCCAAACATCTGGGTTGGGATAGCACAATACAGAAAGGATAAAGGTGCAGACACAGAAAGCAATGTCAGTACTCAGTGTATGTATCTACAGCTTCAACAAATACAGATTTATCAGTATGATAATAAAGACATCCACTCAAGTGATATATAGACATGCACACACATTGTTTCTGTCACTTCTTATGCCTAGTTTAAATAAATAGGTGGTAAACTGATTGCAGAAATACAACTATCCACAAAACAAGAACATCAGCTCTGGGTGACCAATGGAAGCACACAGACACAGAGAAGCATGCACAAGCACACAGCCCCATCCCCAGGAATAATAATATGCTGACTTGCAGGGCAAAACAAAGTCACAATTCACCAGCCTGACCCTACAGAAACCTGACAACTATTTTTTCTAAATCATTATGTAATTTTCTCCTATTCCTGCATTGATAAGAACCCTTCACATATAGTCAGACCAGCTGAGCTGCCATTTTTTATGCAGAACTGGAGCCACAGCATTTCCTCTGAGTTAGAAGGTAGCTTTTTTTTTTTTTTAACAAATCAGTCAATAATCAATATGTTGCACTGCCCCCATCTTCCCATTACCCCCATTTCCCAACTTGTCCCTTGCATTTCCTGCTGTGGGAAGCCACTGCGTTGGCAGGAGGGAGACGGGATGCAAGTGGAGAAAGCAGGAGCCAGCTGGAGGGAGGAGAACCGGACTGGAGGGAGACACAAGGGGAGGATGTGCCGGGGGACCTGGAAGGGAGGGCAGAGGAGGGATGAGGAAACAGCGCAGGACAGAAGGACGAGAGGGAGAAGGAAAGCTCCGAAGAGGCAAGGAAGGATAAGAGGAAGGGATGACTGAAGGGGTCAAGGAGGCCGCGGAGCAGGAGCCCGGGGGGAAGGGGGAGTACAGGACGAAGGGGCAGCGGAGCAGCCGCTGCTCACGCCCGCAGGCTCCCGACCCCGGCCGCGGGGAGCGCGCCCCCAGGGGCAGCCCGA